ATGGTTTGTGAAAAGGACAGCACGTACTAAATGCAGTATTATACTACAAACAAGGTACCCTGAAAGCAATCATAAAGCCTGGCCTTAAGAAACAGACAAAATTTGATAAAATAGCCCTTCATACTTTCTGAATTTTTCTTGTGTGTCACAAGATTCTGATAAATCTTTGCTGTGAGCTATTTAACATAACTGCTTATTCTAATATTTCAAAAGAATACGAGTCATTTTATATAACAAACTTTGCATGACTTCTCTAAACTGCAACATTTTGCCTTATTTTTCCATTAACAAAGTTCTTGATTTTCAGGTACCAAATACAACCTTACCAGAAAACAGTCAAAGTTTTAAAAATATCTGTCACTTTTTAAACTCTTTATCTTGTATTAACCAAAAACAGTCAGTCATAAAAAGTTAAAACTGTATGAAAGCTCACAGGGCAATGGTTTCTGTGAATAGAAGACGATGCTTCCAGACAGCATTTGTCTTGTCCATGCTGTTTTGGATGTGCATGTATCACCAGAGATAGGTTTTCACTGAAGATCCTGAATGCAGATTACGAAAAGTGTTATATCTGCTTCTGATAGATTATATTCCTCTAATGTAGAAAGCTAAATGCCAGTTACTGTGAAAAGAAGGTATTAGACTAAAATGGTGTATTTAATATTTTTTTTATTTTAAAACAGAACTTTGCAGGCCAAAGACCTTTAGGAAAAACAATTTCACAGGAAGCACTACTAACAGCTGTAGACAGTGCCTTCAGGCTGACATTTTTCATTCAAGAAGGTAACATTACTTTGAGAACTGTTTTTGCAAGGCAGAAGTGTTGCTTTCTGAAAGTCACAAGAGAGTAAAAACACACCACCCACTTCGTGTTCATGCCTCTGTCTGCTAACAGTAAAATAACACCAAGTACTCTGTTTGTACTGTCTACCAAAAATTACAGCTTTCACATAAACACACATGTATATCAGCAAAAGCCCATGACAGATTTGCTTACATACGCTGTTTTAAACTATCAAAAACCTACATAAAATGAAACATACATACCTTTAGTATACTTGTTTAGTGTGCTGTATGACTAAAAGAAATACAATACTCTTGAAACATTGAATCTGAACATGTTAACGTAGCTGCAAGCCATAATGAAGAGATTTTTATTTAACATAAAGCTAGACTATTTAATACTACAGTAACAAAATCATTGTGTACTTAACAATCAGAAACAGCTGACAAAGGTTACATAAAGCTGAAAGGCAATATTTCATTCTGATGGCACTTCTACAGAATGACAAAGTTTTGCAGCACGCACATACAATACAAAGGTAAAGTTAAAAGGCTCAAATCCTGGAAGAAATACAGGCATGTGTTTTCAAGGGAAAATTGTGATTTTTTTTTTTGCCTTCACATTTACTTTCTTTAGAGTATTTTTGGTTTAACTTGACACTAACCTCCAGAGCCTCCTACAAGACTGAATCAGCACCAAAGCTAACTGCTAGCAAGATTAGATTGGAGGACTTCATCAAACTCCTGCTCCCAACTTTCTTTCTCTGATCAGGATGCTGGAAGAATCTATCTAAATTGATTTCTAAATTCAAATCTTCATTGTGCAGTAGCAAAAATAGCTGAGCTGTTTACCCTCAGTCTCTGCCAGCTCTGCATGGGTCTGTTATTGAGCTGCAAACACTGAAGACATTTTGAGGACATTGTATTTTCTCCAAAAATAGGTGATAAAACATCCACACATTTTGACTGACTCAGACAGCCTTTGAATCGAGACAGACACAATCAGCCTTCAAAGAGCTTACACACAGGACAAATTCACCAGCAATCTCAAAATCCCTCACAAAAATGTGCTGTTCTACATGAACAAGTGGCCGAAAGGGGTGGCACAAAAGTCTCACTTCCATCTGTCCATTTGCAAAGAGTTTAAATTAGCTCAAAATCTAGCCTTCTTCTTCCTGAAATTAACACTTAGAACAGCATTGTCATGATCAAAAACTATCCTGTAGTAGTTCTGTGCTGCCTTTTTTATTTGTCACCTATTATAATCCACCCTTACTGTTTCTACTGTGCTGTATTTACAACATGGTATTATCCAGGCTTTGATACAGAGAAGAAAAAAAAAAAAAAAAACAGAAAGAAAGAAAAAAATTCTTACGGTTCTAAAAGCTCTCACTAAAATATCAATCATCAGTTTCACATTCATGATCCATTCTTTTATAGGGTCTTTCAAGCAATTGCAGAAGCCCCTTTTTATAAGTTATTTTGCATTTGCTGGTTAATTCCATATAATATTTGTTGGCATAAATGTTCTACACTGTTGTCTTGTGGGTAAAAAGAAGCACAGGAGCTGTTAGCATCTAACTTGACACCAAAAGCGATCTTCTATCTGACCCATAGATTTAATTAACTTTAAATAAGCTGCACAGGAAACCAGTACAAGCCAGTATATTCCTATAGAAAGACTATGGGCTGCAGAGTACAGAGTATGGTAAGGTTTGTTCACCCAATTAAGCATTACCATGTTGTGGAGTGACTTCCTATTTTACTGAAAATGGTTTGCTCTGCTCTGAAGCATGAGCTAACTCATTCTCCAGGCACCTGTTGGGAAATAAGATGAGTTGGTCTGCCAAGCACTGAGAATTCATCTTTTATGGCATTTTTAAGTCTTTAGGAATACTAGTTCCTAGTGGCATCACAGCTGTGTGCAAGTCTGGAACTACCCTGCCTGTCATGCTTGTCAAGAAAAACATACTGCCTGGATGTAGTCTTAGTTTTCTTATAGTTGGTATGGAAACTGACTCGAACTCAAAATCATTACACAGACATGTCTTTGTAACTACATGCAGAAGACAAACACACAAAAGCTAATTTTTAAAAACCCTACACCTACTTAGCCCTTGGCAATAACAAAATTCTGATAAATTCTTCATTTTTCTTTTCAAAACCATACTCAGGATATAAATTTTCTTCTGTTGCCACACAAGTTGTAGGTGCTCAGTTTTTCCAGAACTGTAGTGTTTTTAGTCATGAGATCAGTGCAGAAATATGCAGGTTTACTTCAAAGCTCAGATCCATAGCTGTCACTATCAGGCTCTTATAAGAGGAAAAACACTGCTTTGCATTTTCACTTGTGACTTAGTGATAACAAGAAAGTATACCATAAGGTGTATGTGCCTTTGTGCCCCCTTTCTGAAAGCAGCAGCTCTGTGAATGAATCTCTATGTACAGGATCTCATGTGCACAGAACCACAGAATGGTTTGGGTTGGAAGATGCTTAGACCTTAAGGATCATACAATTCCAACCTCTCTGCCATGGGCAGGGGCACTTCCCACTAGACCAGGTTACTCAAAGCCCCATCCAGTCTGGCCTTGAACACTTCCAGGGATGGGACATCCACAGTTTCTTGGGGCAAACTGATCCAGTGCCTCACCACCCTCACAGTAAAGAATTTCTTCCTAATTTTCCTTTCATCAGTTCCTAACTGTCTTAATTCCAATGAAAATACATTCGTAGAGCTTGAGTCACAGCTGACCCATGGCTCATAGGGACCAATGTTAAAGTCTGCCTGAAATATGATCCTGTGCAAAAAGCCTTGTGCTAAAGTCTTAAGCCACACAAAAAGTAGAGAGAAAGAGCATGGATGTGTAAATCTGCATAAGATCCCTGGAAAGGATCACAGAAATCTGCTCCTGTAACTTTGTTTCAAGGACTAAATAGTCTTCCTTCTGATTGTTCATATTCCAAAACTGCAGAGATGAATTTGGAGAAAGCTGCACATACCTTTGAAGCATCACTTATTAACTGGAATGAGACAGTGGAGTTGCTGAATTACACATCAGCTTGGTTATGACAAAACCTATGTTTCTACGTAAAAGCATAAGGCCCCAGAGAGTCACTTGTGTGGCTTGTATTTAAAGTTGGCCCTACACGTGAAGTTCTGAGAGAAAAAGAGTATCAGTTCTCTTGAAAACAAAAATGCTGATATTAAAATAAACATTTACAATGGAAGAAAAAGAAAACCACAACTACTTAAAGTGCCAGAATAAAATCTATACAGGTCTCATTTTCACACTTAAAATGTTATAAACACCCAGAGTATGATATAACTGAATAAGATTTTTTTCACTGTGTTCACAAGAATTAATCTATCTCTGGTACGGAAGTCCATTAAAATTTATACCAAATAGGCCAAACCAAACAAATATTTCAAGATGACAAATAATAAGTGGCACATTTTCAAAAAACTTCAAATTCCAAACTATAAATTTGTATGACATCCATTTCTAAGTAACAACATATGCACGCTCCCATGCCTTCATAAAGAAGTGTCAGTAAAGCCCAAGGGATTGCTAGAGTACTGTTCCGTGCAACTTTCACATTGCAGTTAGAAAATCCAATTTCCTGCAAGGACGTATTTAAAAGGATGCTGTGTGAGACTGGCACATCTTCAGATTATTGCTATTTCCTACAATTGTAAATAAGCACCAATTAATGGAATTGTTTTCAAACCTCAACACTCTGCAACATTCATAGAATCACAGAATCAGCTAGGTTGGAAAAGACCTTTAAGATCATCAATGATTTAGGCTATATTAAACATCCATCAAGATAAACTGTATCATCTGCTATCTGTGTTAAAAAAAAACATTCTAGATGCAATAATTCTACCTCCATCTGCAGGACTACAGCGTGGGTTCCTCAGTGCTCTGCAAATTTTGCCAAATCTGTATGATCTTGTACTGCATGCACCTTTTTTTTTATCAGAAGCATTAAAATAGTTTATAAAATAATAAATAAGCCTCCTATAACTCTAAAAACCACACTGAACACAAACTCCATTTGGAGTGATAATTGCTGTTCACATTATTGTGAGATCTGAGGTATTCTTGAAGAGAGAAGGCACCAGTGAAGTTGTTGGATCTGGATGTACTGCATCACAGGAACATATTCAGTTAACACCCTATTGAAGAAAAAGACACATTTCAGTACAACTCGTTTTTATTAAACCTCTAAATTGTCTTGGCTTCTAGATGGGCACACATTCAATACTGTTTGACATCCCTCACTTCAGTATTACCTCTTAGCTACCTCTCTGGATTTTGAAAGGCACAGAGCCAGCAGGTACATATCTAACTGTCTGTTGTGTAGGGAAGAGAGCAAGTTTTACTTACTATAGAACCAGCCACAATAAATGCAACCAGAAGAGAGAACTCATGCCAGTGGTCTGAGTAGAGTGAAAAAACAGCTCTCCTTTAGGTCACAAATTGCAGTCTTTTTCCACACACAGGGAAGAAAGGGGCTACCAAATTTAAAAGTAAGTATTTGGACTAGTATTTTAGCATCAAAGACCTTCAGCGTGTTGTCTTCTTACTCAGTCATTCAAGGGCTTAATGTGAAAACCATGAGTCATTATGAACTACTATGCCCACTTACTCAGGCTTCTATTCCTCAGGGGTGAAGGACTGCGGCTTCGAGACAACTGTAAGACACACAGAAAAGGAAACTCAGATGTTCTCAAGAATTGTACCCAAGAAAGGTACCTGAGGACCCATCAATATTCAGAAAATTTGCATGTATATCAGTGAAGCTCCTCTTCTACAAAGCCAAATTCAATAACTTTTTAGTTTTTCTTTCACACCCTACACACACATAGGTCTTACCCAAAACCTCTCACATTTTCAATAGTCACATTTTGAGTCAATTGGTGTCAATTTAATAAGATGGGCCAAGAATTAGAAAAATATACATGATTTTTACAGAAATAATTAAAAATATAATGTAACTATACATTATGCATGCAAGGTTTCACGTATCTTGTTAGTACCAGTACCACCTCAGCTCTTCCCCTCCTGCCCTACACTGATTTTCTGCTCCTTAGAGGCATTAGAGTATAAATTCAGATTGTTAGTTCCAGGAGGCAGGGACTATGTGCTGTATAATATGCTGCCAGTTCAGCTTTGCCTCCTCCAAGATCCACCAAAGGCATTTATTTATTCCCGATGTTAAAATGTACACATGGCACATCAACATTTTTAAAAGGTTGCCTATGTTCTGAGTTTAAAATACTTGACGCTGTTTGTACTACAGGCATTCAGCTGGGACTTACGTGATGAGCTAGAAGAGGACTGGTGCTACGGCTTCTGCTGCAGCTTCGGCTTCTGTTTGTGTTTCTGCTTCTACTTCTGCAAGACCACTGCAAGAGAAGAGTTTGACAACCCTTTTGAAAGAGGGCATTTAACAAAGGCACACTCAGGAAGCAGACTTGCCATGCTGCAGACATGGACTGGGGACAGACAGTAAACACAAACTTTCTCCTTAGAACAGGCTCTGCCAAAAATCATACATCCGCACAATGAATTTATTAAGGCAAATGGAACTATTCATTCTAAATACAGGGTAAAGCACTAAAACCTAGCTATATTTGATATACACAACCCCAGTCAAATTCTTAATTGTTCCCTCTGTATTTTTTTAGATTTTAGGGCAGTGTTTAATTCCAATTACTCCCCTTATCATGTTTCTTAACAAAAGTACATACCAGAGCTCCTCTCTTAGTGACTGCTTCTCCCTTCACAATAACAATATCGTTTTCCATCAGTGCAGGCCATACATGATAGGCCACCAAGGCAGCTGTGAAATCAGAGTCAAAACTACGATGGTACCTGTTGAAACACAGAGTACAAGAAATGTCTGCATGTAAGTGCTGAAAGACAAATATGATGCTTCAAGTCATCAATGCTGATAAAAAGCAGAATCCCAGCTACAGCCCAAACATCTTTCTTGAAAACATATCCCTATCACAACAGTATAAAGCTAACCTGTAAAACAAAAAAAAACCCAATTCATTTGTAAACCAGACATAGCAGAATATGCTATTTATACTGAGAGATACTCCAATAAAGTCATCTCACATTTCAGAAGGCCATTAGAACATATTCTTGCCTAAGCCCCACACAAGCCAAAGTCCTTGCATCCACTGACATTAAATCTCCTGAGCAGCATTTGGAAGGCATAGTCATTCCATCATCCTGAAATACCTTGCTAGAACAAGACCCCTATAAAGGATATTACAGAAATACTCTACCTCAACTATAAAGTTACATCATGGTACCTTACAAGACATAAGAGACAATTTCATTAGCAAGATGCTCAGACATAAATAATGAAACGGTGACTTTTTAGCTAAGAAAAATAATTTTGAAGGCCTGTGTTCACATGACATATATATTATCTCCCTCAGTCTGCTATATTTGACTAATGATACATATTTGGTTTTGTGGATTCAAACTCAATACCAAATAGCTGAAAGAAAAAATATGAATGGATCTATACATTAGTAATAAGTATACAATAGCAAATGATATAAAACAATGTGGTAAAGAGAGGCATGAAGCTCTGTATGGAGAAAGGTATAGGGTATGAGATGTTTGGCTAGCCCTTTTAGAGAATCCTATCAGACATAACTAACAGAGCTATTTTAATTCCTACAAATTTTGCTAAATGTTTGTGTACCACATATATATGCTATATATGTAAACATGCTACATATTTACCTATACAGATGGATTGATGTGTGCAGCAGCACATATGAACTCATTAGAGCTGGTGTTTGAAGCCCCTACACACCAAGTAGGTGAAGAAAGCATTCCAAGACTACATCGTAGCATTACTGCCTTCTTAATTCAGTCAGTAGCTCTGGGTATCAAATAGTATTTGGACAGCATCATTACGTAGTCACATGAGTGTGCACTCTCTTGTTGACGGGTTACTTTTATCTTTCCTATTTTAGTTCTGTCTTCTTAAGCTCTTCTTTACCTGGGTTCCATCTTCATCATCATCACCATTAGTATTAGTATTATAAACCTCCTTATTGGTATGGCTTTTCTTGCTTTTGAAAGCAATTTTTTTTTTTTTTTTTGTGCAGTCAATCCCTTTATTTTTCTTGAAGGTATGGAAGTACCCTATGGTTCTCTGCCAGCTAACAAAGCAGCCAGCCCTGACCCTATAGAGAGGATTTTTTAAAAAATCCTGTTTTAAAATGGCATTTTTCTTTTTGCTCAGCTCTAAACCAGAAGAGATAAAAGCGTATTAAGATCCATATGTTGTACAGCAGTCACAGGACACATAGTGATGATCCTGTTATCAGACACCAACTGTCAGATCTCAGCTAACACAACTTCAACAAAATGGGCTAGAAAGGAGGAACAAAGATGCACACATTTTCTAAACACTGGAGGCAGACAGAGACTGAACAGAGAAAGGATAGCTGAAAATTTTCCTCTTAAATGATAAATTAAATATGAGCCAGAAACTGAAGTTTTCCAGGAAATTGCTTTGCTATTCACCAAAAGAATCTGCTAACAATGGTCCACATCCTGGCATTTTTACACCACCACAATCCTTAAAGACATACACCAAATTCACTACAGATCATGAATATGTGCCCCAATATGTTCAGCAGTCTTAAACCTTTCTGTTTATGAGGAAAGAAGAGGCTATACAACCTGAGGGATTTTTTTTTAATAGTACAAATTTAACTGAAAATAAGGAGTTCTTACTTGGTCTCACTGAAAAGTTCTCCATCAATCCCAAAGGCAATATCAAGAGGAGGAACAAGTGTCTGCATTGAAAAAGCCACACGGCACAACTCTCGAATCAAAGTGCTGATCACAATGAAATCAGTTTCTGATGGAAATGAAATCTTTGGGTTGATGTTCATGGAGCGAATTACTTCCTGAAAATAAACAATTGAGTGTTTGTGCTCACTAACATGTTTGTTCAATTGCAAATATGGAAATCCCTCTTAAATATGCCTCTCAACTTTCTACATTTAAAAATCAGTATAAGAAGCTCCCAACAATGTTGTCTTAGGCTATTCCAGAAAATACTAGCTTCAGAAAGAATGTGCTGTTATTTTGGTATTGAGGTATGAGCTAAATCATTGACATAAATCTTAGAAGGGAGATGCTGCTCTTCAGTAGAGCACACAATTTAAGAAAAATATGAAATTTAGCTTACATTCATTTGATTAAGACACTTACAGTGTATCTTGTCCAAAATATTATTCTGGCAGACAGAGACATTATAGTCACGGGCAAATAAAACAAGTGATTACTGAGCCATACCACAATATTATTGTGGAAAATAAACTGCTACAAGACATAAAATTAATGCAATAAACTCTTTTACTTCTTCAGGTTACAATGCATTTCCAGTTTACACACTCCAAATTTATTAGCTACTGAAATAGATTAACACATCACTTCCCCACTGCCCTTGACTTACATTGACACTGGCTTGAACATCATACAGATCCTCATGGTCAACTATATAATCCAGGACAGTATCTTCAAGTGATTCAGGTCCCGTGTGACCGAGAGACAGAGTGTCTGTTACACGTAGTTTGAACTGCCTGTAGGCCATCTTTGCTGCATGAAAAGACTCCTGCAAACATGAAGAATATCTAGTTAAATCCAGGAGACTGAGATTAAATTTTAATCCATTATCTGAGAAGAAGAACTGAATCCAATATTACTATTGTAAGGAGGAATATAAAACACTGCTGTAAAATTGAAGGTTAGCAATAGTACCCATCTGTGAGGACTTCTCTGGTTAAACTGTGATTTATTTGCAGAAGATGGGATTGAAAAGCTCCCCACCTAACCTTCTATTTTTATGTAGGATTCCATCACACCCCCACAATCAATGAAATCACATTCAAAGTTATCAAGAGCAGAATTCAGTAACAGCATTTTATTTGCTACAGCCTAACACAACAGACAGGAGAGCACCTCTTTTCTGTTGGGAAGAAAGGTTGAATTGGAAACTGTAAACTGAATGACAGCTGTGGGAAAAAACCTTCAGTAAGTTAATGTGTACAACCCCAAGCACATTTAAGAAACACACTCCCTCTCTGACAAAGGTATGTACTACATCAATTCTACAGAACAGAAGATTAAGTACAGAAAAATAAAATCAAGTTTCTTCAGACTGAGCTCTCAGGAAGTGTGAGGTATCTAGGTAATTTCAAGGGACCAAATAAAATCAGAAAAGCACATAGCTACAGGCAAGAGGGAACATCATATGGAAAGACTTTTTGCTGTCTAAAATGTGGTATTCCCGAAAGACTTCATCTATATTAGGCAGTGTTGTTTAGTGCAGGAATCATCCACCTTTCAGAGCCATTGAGTCTTCATATGTACCCCTTTTAACACCTGCAGTGTAGATCACTGACCCTGTTCTAATGTTGGGACAGGACAGTCAGAACTGAATTCAGAGTTTGATGTATAAGTGTGAGTGAAAGAAAGGAAAATCAAAAGGTAAAAAAGATGTTTTCTTCTCCATACTTCACAGAAATGCTAATTTACACACCATTTAATCCAATCCAGCCATAATATTTTATAAAATCACAGAATCAACCAGGTTGGAAAAGACCTTTAAGATCATCAAGTCCAACCATGACCCCAGGACTGCCAAGACCATCACTAAACCGTATCGCTGAGGGCCTCATCTACACAGTCTCTTAACACTTTCAGGGATGGTGATTCCACCACTTCCCTGGGCAGCCTCTTCCAATACCTGATCACCCTCTGGTGAAGAAATTTTCCCTAATGTCCAATCTAACCCCCCCGGTGCAGCTTGAGGCCATTTTCTGCTGTGCTATTGCTTGTTACTTGGGAGAAGAGACCAACTCCACCTCACTACAACCTCCTGTCAGGTAGTTGTAGAGAGCGGTAAGGTCCCCCCTGAGCTTTCTTTTCTCCAGAGTAAACAACCCCAGTTTCCTCAGCTGTTCCTTATTGGGCTTGTGCTCCATACCCTTCAACAGCTCCATTGCCCTTTTCTGGACCCGCTCTAGCCCCTCAATGTCCCTCTTATAGTGAGAGGCCCAGAACTGACCACAGGATTCAAGACATGGCCTCACCGGTGCCCAGTACAGAGGGATGATCACTGCCCTGGCCCTGCTGGCCACACTATTGCTGATACAGGCCAGCATGCCATTGGCCTTCTTGGCTGCCTGGGCACAAGTTGGCTCATGTTCAGCAGCCGTCAGTCAGCACCCCTAGGTCCTTTTCTTCTGAGCAGCTTTCCAGCCGCTCTTCCCCAATCTTGTAGCATTGCATGGGGTTGCTGTGATCCTTCTGGCCTGTAAAACAAGGATTATTTTTCTTACCACAGCTGCAATGTATATTATCCTGTGTACCATCTCCACGTCACTGATGTATGCCTTTAAAAAGGTCTCTGCATCCAAGCGTCTATGATCATAAATGTCACCAAAGCGAGTTATCAAGCAAGCACGCCGGGAAGCGTTTGTGCGCCTGGCTCGGCCAGGTGAGCGGCGCCTCAGGGGAAGTGGACTGAGTGACTTGTTCTCTCTGTGCCTTGGGGAAGGAGAGCGCCTCCGTGCAAGCCTATGACAGACATATAAAGAAGCATGAGACCACTTCACCAGCCTCAGATGATTTTGTCATGTGCACAGCTTTCTGTCAATTTAATTATTACCAGAGTAGGCTAAGATTACATAATTAAAATAGTAAAGCTGCAGCTGGTTAGTTTAATATGAAGGCAATTGTGTCAATACATTTTATGGGCCAGAGCCTGAGCAATAAAATTAAAGTAACTCCTAAAGTGTCTACACCCAAGTACTTTGTCCTAGGGAAACACACTTTTAACTAGTAACACTTCAGAAATTTGTTCCTCTTTCAGTATCACTGAGGAGCTGTAAAATCAAACAAGTGAGACTATAACAAGTTCTGCCCTGCAATGGTACAGTATTCAAAGAGGACTTAAAAGACCTAACCATCTCTTTTTATCCTGTACAGTTGCTCTCAAAGTATTTGGTAGAGCTGTTCTTTGCTGTTTTGCCAGACACTTAACATAGCTGCCTGAAATTAAAATATTGGGGCACTAGGACAAATCAGTTAAAGAGCTTATGTTCCTTCATAGCAAAGTACAAAAGCTTTGTTTTTGTTTATAATTCAATTTCAAGTGAGGAGGGAATTCATGCTGCCTAAAATAAACAATTTCTGATTCGGTAACTTCTCTGAATAACGCCTCTACCTGCTTTGGAGAAGAGACCTCTCGGCATCCAGGATAGAAATCTTATCCTTCAGCATTTGAATCTGATGCTCATAGTCGTTCAGACAATCTAACTTCTTCTGGGCATCCTTCTCTTGGGCACGGGAAACCTTCAGACTTAACCAAACAGAATAAAGTCAGTCACAAGATGTCCTTCTACCAAAGAAGGAACCATCTGTCAATTAATGCTCATCAGATACAAAGAACAAAAAAGGAGAAATAGGAAATATTGAGCAAGTTCCACATGCTGAAATATAGGCAAATCAAGAGTTAAAAAAATATACCCTAAATCATTACTCCTAATCACACTTTAAAATGTAAAAGTGTACTGTGGCAGGAGACTGGACACACTCCACCTTGTGTTACAGGGGCCATCACTGGTTGGCATTTGGTGTCCTTGTACTAGTTCTAGTTCAGATGACGAGGTCTAAGAAAAAAGTGGTTTCCTTCTCATATTTAAGATGTTAACTAAATCAGCTCAATTTCCTTTCCTACAGTTTAAGACTCTAGATATTTTCTTATATCAGGCTCTCGGATTTGGCTTTTTTTTCTTTTCTGGAGTATATTAGTCAGCCAAAGGATATCACCAATGAGAGATGACCTTTGAAGGTCCCTTCCAACCCAAACTATTCTATGATTCTATTTTATTCAAGTAATATCAAAAGCTAACGATTCTTCTCCTGCTTTCAAGAGAAGCAGTGTTTCTTAAACACTAGCAGACAACCAGTTAAGCAAGTTTATCTCTGTCCTTTACTAAGGGCTAAAGAATTCTAATCTACAGAACAAGTGGGAAAGGAAAGAAGATTTGGGAAGATGAGTTCTTGAAATAGAAATGGTGGAAAATCATTAGGTACCAAAAAAAAAAAAAAAAGCCAAAAACCCCTATGTAACACACAGCACGCTGTATATTATTCCCTTAAATTTCCATGACAGACAATGCAGTATTAATAACTATAAAACAGAGAGGAAAAATAAGAAATAACCATTTCACTGCTGTATTATTTTATTTTTGGTATTTACCCCTATTCACATGGGGACTTTTCTTGAAAGTTAATGGTAAGTTTATCTCACTGCTGTGAGAACCACAAAGCTTCCATCTTTCTATCATGACAGCAGATAGTGATTACAAACAGATGCTTAATTGTGGGTCTGCCTTTATCAGAAAGGGTAAGAAAAAAAAATAAAAAAAAATACACAATAGGAGAGCACATGACAGACAGAAGGCAGCAAAAATACCTGCTTCTTTCATTGTCATATAGAGAACATGAGAAAAGCTGCTGCTGAAAAGGAATGTTTCTGTGCTGGTTTTGGCTGGGTTAGAGTTAATTTTCTTCATAGTAGCTGGTATGGGGCTATGTTTTTGATTTGTGCTGGAAACTGTTGGTAACACAGGGATGTTTCAGTTACTGCTGAGCAGTGCTTACACAGAATCAAGGCCTTTTCTGTTCCTCACCCCACCCCACAATGAGCAGGCTGCGGATGCACAAGGAGTTGGGAGGGGACACATCTGGGAGAGCTGATCCCAACTGACCAAGGGCATACTCTTACTATAAGGTGTCATACCCAGCATATAAAGCTGGGGGAAGAGGAAGGAAGGGGAGGACTTCAGAGTGATAGCATTTGTCTTCCCAAGTAACCATTACACATGATGAAGCCCTGCTGTCCTGGAGGTGGCAGAACACCTGCCTGCAATGGGAATCGGAATTAGAGAATGGTTCGGGTTGGAAGGGATGATAAAGATCATCCAGTTCCAGCCCCCTGCCATGGCCAGGGACTCCTTCCATTAGACCAGGTTGCTCACAGCCCCACCCAGCCTAGCCTTGAACACTGCCAGGGATGGGGCAGCCACAACTTCTTGGGGCAACCTGTGCCAGTGCCTCACCTCCTTCACAGTAAAGAAATTTTCCCTTTAATCTAAACCTACCCTCTTTCAGTTTAAAGGCATTCCCCCTTGTCTTATCCCTACCTGCCCTTGCAGAAAGTTCCTCTCCACCTTTCCTGTAAGCCCCCTTTAGGTACTGGAAGGTTGCTCAAAATCTTCCCAGAGCCTTCTCTTCTTCAGGCTGAACAACCCCACCTTTTGCTGTGCTTGTGCAGGCCTTTTGATTTCCCTATTACACTGTCTTTATCTCAACCCAAGAGTCTTCTCTTACTCTTTTGATTCTTTTCCCCATCCCACCGAAGGGGGAGTGAGTGAGTAGCTGTGTAGTGCTTAGTTGTCGGCTACTGTTTAACCACGTCATTTTCTTAATAAGAAAAAACAAATACGAAAAGGAAAAAAACATCAACTGTAAGACAGACACATTTGTGAACTACCAATACTGACTTCCATGCTAGTTAAATCTATGCAGTATTTGAGTTTCCCCTGGTTTACAGTTCATTCACTCTACTGCTAAATAGTATCATCTTTCTGTTCAGGTTAAAGAGATGCAGATGCTACAAACGGAAAAAAAAATAATGGGAACAAACAAGGCAAAATATAGCTCTTAGAAAAATCAGAGCAGTTTTTATAACCACCTTTATTTTAAGGTTATAACTAGTGTTTTGAACTCTACCATCCAACCATTTAAAAATAATATGGGCATCTTCAGCCAGTTTCTCAGGAGAAAACACAACAGCCTTGATAATTCATGTGAAGTGTCTGCTTAATCCTGTTTCAATCCCTTCAGTTTTAAACAATTAACAATAAAACTGTCACTGTTCCTCCAGCTCTTGGGCTAAGCCCAACTCTTTATCCATATTGTCTTGAATTTCAAAGCAAGAACAACTCCACCCATGTAATTTTTGGCCAGATATGTGTTTAACCTATTTTTAAGAGCCCCCTGTCACAGCAACACTACAAGGTCTTGAGGTAACTGATTTAAGATACCGTATTTGCTATTACTAATTACAAACTCTCTTCCTGCCAATCTATATAACAGGTCCCCTAGATGGCAGATAAAAAAAAAAACAACAAAAAACAAACACTCCTCTTAATTTCATTTAATTCAAAGTGAGTCATCTGGCTTTAAGTTTGTTTAGATCTTGGCACAAATCTAAGCAGCCTGATAGTAAGCTTCCATTTATAATCATACTAATAGGATTTTGTTCACTATGTACATAACAACAGTTTTTAGTAAACTTTGTTTTCTCTTCCAATTACTTTTAAATGTTGATCATTATTTATTAAAAAAATATTTTCCTTCATAAGTCTGTAGCAAATACCTAAATCCTGTTGTAATTAATATCCTGATATATAAAAAGAAAACATGCTTTTTTAGTAAAAAAAAAAAAGAAGTAGAATTTAACTATATTGAGGATTGGTTGTAGAATTTAATCATATTGAGTCTAGACCACACTTGCTCTAATAACCCAGGAGGCTAAGATGTCTAGCAAAACATGCATTAAGTATGAGACAGAATACAGACAAGAGGAATGAGATTATCAGCTATTCCAAAAGTCTCAGAAAGCATATTTACACAGATGCAAAGGATACTCCTGGCAAACTGTTCCTTATGTAAAAAAAAATAATAATCCTGCCCTAAGTGCCACAGATCAGTCCTGACCTCACACACTTTATGGCAGGGATGCCATCCAGAGGTACCTGGACGCACTTGTGAGGTGGGCTGATGCCAAACACCTGAAGTTCAACCAAGCCAAGTGCAAGGTTCTGCACCTGGGTCAGAGCAATCCCAGGCACAGCTACAGGCTGGGCAGAGAAGAGATTCAGAGCAGCCCTGCGGAGGAGGACTTGGGGGTGCTGGTCAACAAAGAAACTGAACATGAGTCAGCTTCAGTGTGCACTCATAGCCCAGAAAGCCAACCGTATCCTGGGCTGCATCAAAAGGAGCGTGATCAGCATGTTCAAGGAGATGATCCTGCCCCTCTGCTCTGCTCTTGTGAGACCCCACTTGAAGTACTGTGTGCAGTTCTGGTGTCCTCAACATGAAAAGGACATAGAGCTGTTGGAGCAAGTCCAGAGGAGGGCCATGAGGCTGGAGCACCTCTCATACGAAGATAGGCTGAGAAAGTTGAGGCTGTTCAGTCTAGAGAAGAAAAGCTGTATGGAGACCTCAGAGCAGCCTTCCAGCATCTGAAGGGAGCCTATAAGAATACCAGAAAGGGACTCTTCATCAGGGACTGTAGCAATAGGACAAGGTGTGATGGGTTCAAACTTAAACAGGGGGAGTTCAGGTTAGATATAAGGAAGTTCTTTACTGCGAGGGTGGTGAGGCATTGAATTAAGTTGCCTAAGGAAGTTGTGAATGTTCCATCCCTGGCAGTGCTCAAGGCCATGCTGGACAGAGCCTTGGCCAACATGGCCTAGTGTGAGGCATCCAAGCCCATGGCCGGGTGGCTGGAACTAGACGGTCTTAAGGTCCTTTCCCACCCAAACCATTCTGTGATTCTATGATTCTGGTTTGACAAGCAGGTGAAGACTATGCAATTCTGATTTCACCCAATTAATAGGGTTCAGATTTGGCAAAGATGATTCACAGAACATGAAAAATAGCAACTTTTCTTCAACCAAAAGCTGAACTCCTGGGCAGAAGATGCAAATGTAGAGTGCCAGCTAAACTGAGAGTGAACACGAACCATACCTATGTGGAGAAAACAGAATTCCTGAATTCATGGGGAGACAAGAAGATTTTATTCTTCTGTTAGTAGTCCAAATGGCAACACAAACTTCTGTCCAGTGTGCATTAAGACCTACACACGAGAACTGCAAGATGTTTTATTCCCTACTAATAGTTCTAATCAGGAAGACAGCAGTCAGGTTATATCTAAGAATCAAGGAGTTATATGAGCTCGTTTATACCCAACAAATCAAAAGAGCCCATTTTATGGGAATATATGTTTATACCCCACATCCAAAACTTAAAATCCAAAGTGATTAAAACTTGCTAGGAAAGTCCATGGATGAAATCTGACAATTAGCATTATTCTAGAAGATAAACATCCAGAGATGAACAAGTGACATGCAACTTGATATTGGAAGTAGAAATGTCTATGGAAGTAGAAACTAATGGCTTGAAGGCTTTTTTGTTTACTTGTCTTTATTATGAGTAGCTCATCCTCATCCTCTCAGTTGCTCCAAAAAGAAAGAAACCTGTGGACAATTATATCCTTTCCTACAGTGTAAGCAGCAAAGTTTCTTCCATTTTTAGGAGCAGCAATGTAGTTCAATGAAAAGGCTGCAAGCATTTGTTTAACAAATATGACTACAATTGTGTTGTTGAAATGACAGTTTTCACATGCTGTTGAAATTAATTCAACTACCATTGTGTTCTTTTCTGATAATATAAGAAAAGAACAACCAACCAACCAACCATGGGCTACATTTCGTAACAGTGAAGAATTATTACTGCTTTTAGAGCCACAAAAGGAAATTAGTTTTAGGAACCCCTGTGTCAAAATGGAAAGGTAGCTGCACCCACACTGATCCAGATTAACTTCCCAGATGTGATCAACACATTTAGAAACTCAAACCAGCATTTTTAAGTTAGAGACGTCAACATTACTGATAGACATTTCTCCTGTGCAGAGGCAAAAGGATTTAGTAAAAATGGTCTAAAAGTAAAAGCCACACAAACAACTTTGTCTTAATATAGACAGACTGAAGTGTTTTTTATTTAACATGATCTCTGCTTCCAGGAGCATCATTGGAAACTGCAAACAATGATTTCCAGCTACATTCAGAATATGGTTCTCTCCTATTTAACTTCATCTACAGGATTCAAATGCTATCAAGCTGTTAGTTTCAAAATTACTTCTTCCTCAAGCCTAAAGAAAAAAAGGATAGAAGTTCAGCCCTAAGGGTTCTTCTCACATGGATCTACTTATGCTAATTCTCTCTATAACACCAAGAAACAAAGCTACGTGTTAAGAAGCTAAAGATACTTTTTGCTATAGCATAGGACAGCTTAGAATAAACTCAGGAACCTGCTCAGATAAATGACAGACCATGTCTCTGCATGCTGACTTTCTGCCACAAATATCCCAAGACTCAAGTTTTTCTTACACTGTTTTTAGCTGAGTAATTTCATCTGCTGCTGCCAAAAAAGTAGTGGCTGATTTGGTCTTTGTGTCTTCACGAGCCAACTGGGTTTTTGCCAGACTGCAAGAAAAATTGATAACCTGCATGGTAAAGGCAGTGATTCTACCTAAGAATTTAATATGACAAACTGACTATTCAAGCTGACCAAGTCCATACCAATTTAACATATGAAAACAATCACAGTGGGCTTTGTGCAGACTATCAGCACACAAATAGCTTATAAAAAGTCATATCTGACTATGCAATAACAGAAATATTTTATGAAAAAACAGTATTTTTCATTACGACTCAATTCTAGTTTCTCCATCCATTTCAACAATTTACAGTGTTCAGAATGACTTCACTGTCCATACATGTGGTCCATTCACTGGGACGTGAATTATATTTCTCCTGCACCTGTCCCCTGCAAGCCAAAAACTACACCACCACAACTCCATACAGCATCACCTTGAAAGGATGAGCTCTGAAACCTCCACATGATTTCATCTCCAACAATTACCTCTTCCCAACCCTCTGCCTTCCAGACTCCTACTTCTGCAAACCACAGCCAACACACCTCTGACCTGAGTGCACAGAGAAATACAATGCACAAAGCTGTACAAAAGTTTTATCACCAATTTCCTGCTTCTCAAGGGATCTAGCCCAAAATGACTTTTTCTTGTACTGCAAACTGCCACATGCTCACTCCAATCTGTATTAGTCAATAACTTTCCTTGTAAGTAACTCTTGCCTTGACCCTCTGACACTTTTCTCTGGCTCACTAAATGATCTCTTTCTATCCATACAGGAGCATAGAATGAAATGTCTCACCCCTAAACCGACCCTTATATACACCTGAACCACCTTAATGGCTCAGGTTGGAAGGCACCTCTGGAGGTCGTCTAGTCCAACTGGCTCCTCAAGCAGGGCAACTTAGAACCGATTACCCAGATGGCTTTTGAGTTATCTCCAAGGATGAAAACTCCACAGTGTCCCCGAGCAACCTGCAACAGTGCTCAGTCACCCCCAGAGTTAAAAAAGGATTTCCTGATGATCAGAGAGAAACTCACTTATTTCAGTTTGTGTTCCGTCTCTGGTCTGTCACTGCGAACCACTGAAAATAGCCTGGCCCCGTCTTCTTTACACACCTTGCTTCAGGTATATTTATAAGATCCACCTATCTCCTGTAACTCTTTGCAATTGTTAGAAATATTAACAGAAAACTCCTTTGCTTATTAAACCTTCCAGGCAGGAGTTATTTTGCAAGATTACCTAATTCTGGCAAACCAGTTGAAATGCCAAGAACAAAACCACTTTCTTCTTCCAAACATTGTGGGGTCTTTCTCTGTCCCACCTTGTCACTTCTGACATTTAATATCTACAGCAAGATCACAAGATTTATTGGTTTTGTCCTCTTCTTTTCAGGGGGATGCACTGATCTTTAACTCACCCAGAGTTGCCTAAGAGACTTTTTTTGATATTGAAAAATCAAATGCTTGCATTCATCCACGATGAGACATAACAGATACTAATAATGTCTGTTGGAGAATAATGGAAGAGCAACTTATCTCCCTTGTCTTTTATAACACTTCTGACACAGTCCCACACAACATCTTTGTCTCTAAATGGCAGAGATATAGATTTGACGGATGGACTAACTGATGTGTAAGTAATCAGTTGGATGGCTGTGACTTGAAAGTTGCAGTCAACAGCTCTGTGTCCAAATGAAGATCAGTGACAAGCAGTGCCCCTCAGGGGTCTGTGCTAGAACTGGTACTGCTCAGCATCTTTATTAATGACATTGATAGTGGGATTGAGTGTGCCCTCAGCAAGTTTGTGGATGAGATCAAGCCGAGTGGTGCATCTGATAATCTAGAGGGAGTGGATGACACCCAGACGACCCTTGATAGGCTTGACGAGTGGGGCCCATGTGAATATCAATGTTCAGCAGGACCAAGTGCACGTACCCAGGCCAGGACAGCCACCAGTATCAGTACAGACTGGGTTAAAAATGGATTAAGAGCAGCCCTCTGAAGAAGGACTTGGAGGTAGCAAATAGATGAAAAAAAGAGAAATGAGCTGGCAATGTGCATTCACAGCCCAGAAAGCCAAACATATCCTGGCCTGCATCAAAAGGAGTGTGAGCTGCAGGTTAACGGATGTGATTCTACCCCTCTTCTCCTCTTTCATGAAACCCCATCTGGAGTACTGCATCCAGCTCTGGAGTTCCTAGTACAAGACAGACGTGGACCCAGGTGAGGGCCACAAAAATGATCAGAGGGTTGGAACACTTTTCTTATGAGAAAGGCTGAGAGAGTTAGGGTTGTTTAGCTTGGAGAAAAGGTTTCAGAGAGAGACCTTATTGCAGCCTTTCAACAGCTAGAGGGTGTTTATAGGGAAGTCTGAGACTGTATTTTTTATCCCTGTGCTACAGATAGGACAAGGACTAATGGTTTTAAACTTAAAGAAAAAAGATTTAGATTAGCTATAACGAAGGTATTCTTTACAATGAGGGCAGCAATATACATAGGTACTTGATTTTTATCAAGGTTTGCTCAGCATGCACCAGTTCATCGACTATAATTTCACTTGGATTGTCGTGCATTACAGAAAACTCTCACCTACAATACTGGCATGCTTTCCAACTCCTCTGCCAGAAGCAAAACCTACCACCTCAATTTATGAGTGCAGGTATGTCTGTATCATTTGTACCTCACTTTGGACACACAGACAATCCAGAGCCTAGGTGTGTTTTGAAGCTCTGATTTTAAACCAGAAATAAAGCATTTTTAAAAAATCTCTGGCAGTATTTAGCTGCCAAGAGAAAAAACATAGCTTGTTCAAAAACAAAAGACAAACAGGAAGAATAACAGTTAATTCCCCTACTCTTGTTGCACTTGGTTGAGCTTTAGACGAGTTGAAGTCAGTTCTTCCTGCAGCTCTTGCAGTTGAAAACTCTGATTGCTGGCCAGCTCTCTCAGCTGCCTCTCTTTCTCAATTAAATCCTACAACAAAACACAATCACACTGCTTGAATGCTCCACCTTACAGAACCCTTCAGCAATGTAGTATGGTGTTATTACCAGATGTATTTCTGGCCATTTCGGTCAAGACCCTTTCTAAAATAACCGAAAACAGAAGCAACTGCATACCTTCTAGAAACATAACCAGTACCTTCCAGGTACACAAAACAAAGACTCAATTACATTAGGAGACAAAATTTCTTTTACACCTCATGATAGACAATATGGAAGGTCTGCATATGCAGATTTACTACCTCTATACACATCATTTTAACTAAGGGTTCTTGCAGATGTTTTGCTTGTTGGTTAGGTTGGGGTTTTTTTCAGTCAGTCATCTTCTGACTCATTATATCACCAACTTCAGTAAAGTCTGGGGGAATGCATGCACACAAAATAACAGAAAAACTTCTAAGAGGAGGAGGCAACAACTGTCATTCCAGAAAGCACACTACTACACATGCAGCTCTGTCATTAGCAGCCAATAGATTTGCCTGATGCTGCTGAATTAAATAGGTAACTGTGCAGTAGGCTTTTCTTTATGTTTTGAATGTCACATGCAATGACAACTCTGCAACTGGTGTAACAGGTGTACTGTCATTTAGTAACATTATTACTGTACACTTCAGGGTTGGTATTTTTTGCAGAACCCTACTCCTACAATACACTAGAACCTTACTCTTAAGGGATATCACTTTACATTTTCTTTTGTGTGAAATTTTAATTGTGAGAGATTTTGATAAAAGAGGTGTAAAAATGAAAACATGGAGGCATCACTCTCAAATATCAAGAACTTCCAATATTTTCCCCTAGTCTGCATTAACCAACACTCTCATTTTCTTTCAAAGCACACAGCCACAACAGATCTGTCTTTTCTGCCAAACTGCTAGTAAAACAACCCCTTCAATATGTATCAAAATCTTACTAACTCCAAACATCAAGTCAGATGCGTGGTGGTATTATGATGGGCATGAGCACTTCTTTTTTGCCTTATGGAGATATTATAATGCTCACACATTAAACAAAGATTTTTATTTTTTTTCCTTAAAAAGATAACTCACAGAAACACATGGAGTTTATACACACTTTCAGCTTACACGTCTTTTCAGTGTTAGTTTTTTTTACTAATAGAGATATGATGTAAATACTTCTGTAACATTTTTGCAAACGTAAATGTAGCACAATTCTTTACCTAGAAAAGGAAAGCAGTACGAGAACATAGCTTCCCTAACAAAGTAAATTCATGCATATTGTCACTCATTGTCATGAAACAACATAAGCCCTAGAAGGCCAAAAGTAACTTTAATGGCATCTTTGATTTCCCTTTCAAAGGAAACTTACCATGGGACAGTTGTCTCCATGTGTGCAGCTAAGGGTGTATTTCATTAAGCAAAATAAGGGAGGCTATTATTAACAGAAAGTCATTAAAGCTCTCCTGCTGGTATAAATTCACACCATTCTATTCCACTAAAATAAATTTCCTACATACCTGAGTGAGAGTGGTTTCAAAGATCCTTCCTGATGAGCAGCTAAAACAAGGTGTTAGTCGTGGCAGGAGACGAGTTTTGATAGTTTCCACACCTGCATATTGCCCACCTTAGAAAATACATAAAGAAATTGTGAGAACACTTACAGAAAGAGCCAGACTTTGACAAGATGACATGTGAAACGTGCTAGTAGTAATAAGAGATGGCAGTGAATTACCTTCTTGAGATGTTTCATTGAGGATTGCGAAGAGCTGCCTTTGAATCTCAGAGCTCAGTTCTAATATTTCACAGCACCAGTTCAGATTTTGATCACAGGAATTAAACTGTAAATGAATGTGTATTAATAACATCCAATTTAATTAATTAAGTCACTGTGTGGGCTTTCTTAAAATTATTCTTATTATGATCATGACATCCCCCCCCCCAAATTATATCTTTGTAACATTTTCTTATTGCACCCACTAGAATACTCATCTCCAAAATGTTCACATTGCTAATGGGCAAACTAACAAGATACCAGGACTTCTATCACACAGCTAACTCACTACTTGAAAAAACTTAGCCCTTTCTCCATTCATAAAGAAGATGCAACCGTAAGTATTTCTAAAATAAAGTAATTGTGGATCTGTGATAAAATCTTTCAACACAGACTTTTTAAAATAATAAGATAGGAGACTGTTGGGTGAAAAGGCTGCCTAAAATCTCATTTTTTATATTAACTGAAATAATACATATAAGACTATTATGTTTCTCTGTCAACAGCCATGTGTGCCCTCCGTGCAATTTCATCTGATTTTTAGGAGTTACCAGCTGAAATAGCACTGAAGAACAGGCAAAATCTAGGATCATGCCTATGAAACAACAGACCAACAGAACTACACCACTTTCAGCAAATTCTGAAAAGGAGTTGATGGGGTTAATCTGTCCAAGAGGCTACTACACCTGCCAGGGGAACACACACTTTGCACCTGCTTTCTTAATCTTTACCCATAATCTGGGCATCATCTTCAAAGCAGATCACCCTCGAGGTCTACAGGCTTTAATGGCTCCATATGGCTTTTACAAGCTTCCAAAACAGCTAAAACTCCCACTCATGCCCCTGTCAGCTTGCATTTGGATTGCTGCAACATGCTTTCCTCTGGCCTCAAGGAGCAGTCTCACCCTGCTAACCTCAGACAGAACACCACTGCATTGTGCATTTGTTCAGCTCATTACACCAAAATAACACCCATGGTGCTTCCATCTGCCAGCTTCTCTTGTGCCACAGCAGCCTGAAACTGCTTGTCTTCATTCCCCAAGACCTAAAAGACTATCCCCATCCCACTTACTATAGAAAGCTTAGCTCCCACTGTTGCTTTGCCATCCCGAAGTCTACTTCCAACATCCATTTGTAAGCTTTTAAAATGTATACCTCTGTCCTCCCTCCTCTACTGTTCTGCATTTTGTGGTAGCTTTACCAGCCACCCTCAGACTCCTCCTTAAAACTGTCCTTTCTCATGAAACCTGAAGAGAGTTGCACTGGTTATTAATGTGCTGTAACACCTATGTAGCATCAAGTATAAAAAGAACTGACTTCCCTTGAAAGGCTGTGTCTCTGCTCAGCACCTTTTCTCAACAAGCATAGCACAGGGTAGGTGGCTACAGGCTGATGACCAAATCAACTATGCATGTCCTGAAGCTAATGAAAACTGGGGACACAGTGGGAACTCTGTCACTATTTTCCACTGAGAAAATTCAGTTATCAAGTCTCAGATCCACTTATCTTTCCCTAATTTTGCACCTTCTCTACTGCTTCCACTCTTTTGATTCCTCAGTCTCCTGTTACTTCTTACTCCTCTGTTTATTCTATTACATCCACCCACATCTTTCTACTCCTACCTGAAACTATTTCCTTACATTTGCTTCCTTGTTATTTAACCCCCAGCTGCAAACAGGACATTCCCTCTTCGGAAACCCTTCAGTAGCTGTGCTGTCTTGTAGCAGCCTCTCAGCTCTAACTGGCTTCCCACCCAGCAGAGCTGGGAATATTCGGAAGCTGATTTCCACTCTCACCTTCAACATCCTTTTCCTCACATTTTCCTGGCTGTTCCCAGGCCACAGACAATTCCTCCTGAGCACACCCTCACTCCTGGTCCTTCCATCTGTCGGTCTTCTACCACAAATACTTTCCTGATCCAGACATTGCAGCTCAAATATCATTTTTGACCTCCAGCCCTCGCTCTCAGTGAACCCTGTCACAGGCAATAAAAAAAGCTGCGAGTGCTACAGACACCGGGTGTTAAACCCGTGATAACTGTGTGCGTGTGAGGGTCGATGTCCCAAACCAGCCTTTAGAACCTCCTCCCCTCGGCCGGCAGCAGCGCTCGGCTGCACTGTGCTCAGGCCACCACCGCTCCGCGTCCCGCCGTCACCGCGGAAACGGCCTCATGGCCGGGCCACCGCGGCAACAGCGCCGCTCCCGGCTGACCCCCGAGGGCCGCGGGGTGGGCGAGGCAGGCCTCCCCACAGCGGACACGGATTTCGCACCCTCCCGGCCGGGGCCCACTACCTCGTAGTTCCGGTGCCAGTTCTCCAGCTTCTCCTGCAGCACCCGGCCGCTCTCCGCGCTGACCAACCTCCTCAAACTGTCCGCCATGGCGGGCTGTCAGCTCGCTCCCGGGGGTCGGATGGGCTGCGCTGGTTCCCCGCGCCCTCCGGGAGCCCTCCGCAGCGGGCGGCGCTGGGCGGGGTTGGGGGGAGCTGGTACCGCCCGCCCGGAGCCACTGCTTCGGGGAGGTGCCTCCTCCGCGCCGCTTTTGTTGTGACCATTGTAACGTCGGCGGGTGCCTTGGCGACGCGGGCAGCGCGCCCCTCTGCCGTGGTAACGCGCGGCCCGGCCCGGCCCGGCCTGCCCTGGCGGGCAGCACGGCATCGGCCGCCAGGTGGCGCCTCCGGGAAACGCGGTGCAGAGCCGGCGGTGAGCCCGCCCCTACCGCTTCCCTCCCTGCGCCGCAACGGGGCGCCCGCGGGCCCCTCCGCAGCGGCGCCGGCGGTGGAGGAGGAAGATGGCGGCTGCCGCCTCCGAGCAGGTCTGTCCCGGCTGAGGTGCAGGCGCGGGGAGGCTGTGGGGCCCTCCCCGCTGGGGCGAGGGGAGAGCGAGGCCCAGCCCCGCCGCCCGCGAGCCCTTGGCGAGCCGCCTGAGCGGTCGCTCCGGCCGAGGGGCGCTGCTTGTGGAGGGGACGCTCGGGCGGGGGCGCCGTTTTTGCGGCGGTAGCTGAGGCTGGCGCTGTGCCGGAGTCCTCCGCGCGGACGGCAACCCCCATGCCCGTGTTTCCCCGCTACTTGTGACAGGCGGGAAGGGGAGAAACGGCGCTTGGACGGCGTGTGCGACCCCCGCCGAGCTCTTTCAGGGACGGGCGGCCTTTGCCTTGCAGCGGGGGGAGGCCTCTCGAGCCCGTCGCTGCGGGGCAGCCTGCTTTCTGCTGCCCAGCCAGGGGAAGCCGTGTCAACGAAAACACTTGCTGTTTCCGAAATAAAGTGTCGTGGCGTTTGTGCACAGGAATGTCGATGTCTTGCGTAAATAGGCACTTGCCGCTAGTTGGTGGAGCGGATCGCAGCTGGTCAGCGCGGCCGGTATTTATAGGAATGCGGCGTGAGGCTTCTTGTTACGGGGCAGAAGCACGGTAGGCGGCGGCAGGGCGTAAGCAAGCCTGGAGCTGAGTGAGATTCGGGCTCAGCTTCCGAGGCCTCACACGGAGCGAGAGCTGAGTTCGCCCGAAGGGGTGTCATTGTCACCCCGCCGAGGGGCGGGACAGCGCCGCGCACGCCGCAGCGGGCAGGACCGAGCTGTTCAAGGGCCCATCTCTCAGGAGCTCGGGCATCTGTCTGCACGGGATTTTCAATCCGAGTGAGTCTGTGCATGTGCATCTGCGCCAGTGGCAGCAGTGGGTATAAAGTACCAGATTCCTGAGGGGTCCTACCCAGCCTCGCCTCGCGTGCCATAGGAAGCACTGCCTAGTTTAGCATAGATGCTCCAGCACTTGTTCCAGCTATCACTGTTTCAGCCATTTTCTCCCAGTCCTGGTGCCGTCGTCTGTGGTGCTGCCTTGCCAGGTGAAAAAGCAATATTGGAGTTCTAGCTCAGCATCACATCCTTTCAAGAACACACTGCCCTCAGGACAAGATACTGTTCTGTTGTACGAGATTTCCATTGCCTTTTCCCTCTTCTTTCAGTTTCCTTGCCTAGCCAATTCTGAGTTCCAGCAGTGCTAGAGTGGCTTCCAGAACATCACTGAGGAAACACTCCATAAAATTGTTCTGGTCAAGCACCTTTCTCAAAACCATTTCCTTGTTCCTCAGCAAAAGAAGATAACAAGACGTTTTTACTTGTTACCTCAGTATAGACACATGCAAATGCAGTAAGCTTGAGGTGCAGCTTCAGGATTCGTTTCAAATGAACAAACTTAATCACATCAGAAGATCAAGCCCTTTCTTTGAAGAATTAGCCCTTAAATAGCAACCTGTTCCATTCAACAAAGGCGCAACAAAATTTTGGACAGTTACAAAAATACATCGAAGATTTATTTTTCCTATTAATATCTACAAGAGTTTCCTCTATCTGTTGATTTGATATATTGACAGGATATCCCTTGCAATCTAGTAACTTCAAATGATTAAATTAAAGCTAGTCTGGCCAGGTTTGAAGCTTTTCTTAATGCTGCATACAAAAAAATATTTATTGAACGCAAACTATCTGCTGTTAAACTATTTGTATCCACCACCTGCCTTTTGGATAGGCTTATTGAGAGTCTATCCTGCATTAGCATGGCGGGAACTACAGTCCTGTGCATTGATAAATGACAAGCAGGATTATGTCCTGTATCATCCCTGAGAGGTAAAAACTTGATGAAGTTCTTTACGGCTGCTTTTTTTTTTTTTTTACTGCAACAATGTCATTAATAATTCCTATCTGTTATGATAAAAATGAGATATAGAAACATACATTGTCTAAAAATATCTGGGGTTTAATTTTAATCATTGCATTAACAGATTGCGGTGGTTGTAAACATGTATTCTAAGTACAGAGTGTCAGGGTGAAATTAAATATTGAACATAATAACTAATACATTCCAGTACTTGATTCAAATTTGTATTTTTTGCATATGTATATGTGTCATTTTAACAGCTTCTCCATGCTTTGTATTATAGCAAAGTTCTAATGGCCCAGTGAAGAAGTCTATGCGAGAGAAGGCTGTGGAACGCAGGAACATTAATAAGGAGCACAACAGTAATTTTAAAGCAGGATACATCCCAATTGATGAAGACCGTCTCCATAAGACAGGGTTACGTGGCAGGAAAGGCAACTTGGCCATTTGTGTGATTGTTCTTCTTTTTATTTTGGCTGTCATCAATCTGATTGTGAGTATAATACTTTGGCTGTAAGCAACCTTAAGACTTAATTCATTTTGACAGTTTACTAGAGAAATAAATATTCCCATATGGATGAGAAAGGCTTAAAATGTACCGAAGGAAATTTCTCATTTTTCTCCTTTCTTTTATTGTTCTTTTGTAATCTGAGCAAGATTAGATAGAAGAATCTTTCAGGTTCAGTCATGATCATTTCAGTTATCATGATCCCAGTAAGGATCCTACTATTTATGCAACACAGAATTAGGAACCTTGAAAGCAGCTCTTCATTCCCAGAACTGAATAACAGCAAATGTGCAGTGTTACTAGTGTAGTTCAAATGCATCTGGGATAAATTATTATGCCAGAAATATTTTATATATAATAACAGAACTGTATGTGAGCATTCAGAATTAACCATCTAGTGCACTGTAAAATCTCATTGTTGTAATTACCACTTTTTTATTGCTTGATCAATGAGAAGTAATGAATTATTTTTCGTAACTTGACATCCACCTGTGAAGGTGCTTTCTTGTAGTTCAAGGGTGAGTATATCCTGAGCTCAGCTGCTTTGTTCAGGTAATTTGTTTAGCCAGTGGTACCATTGTTACCCTTAAACAGGAGAAAGATTTAATATGGACATGTTTTATTTCAAATATATGTATATATTAGAGAGAGAGAAATTTTAGCTACCATTTCAGATGAATCTAAAAATCATATAAAATGCCTTTCATACTTAAATGTGTTCTGATGTTTCGAGTATGAATGAAACAGACTAAAGTAAATTCACACCCAAAGCTCACTTAAACACTGGCATTAATATTTCAAATAAAACATCTAGTTAATACAAAACTTGTTGTGGGAAGATCCAGATGGTCAAAGTAATCTTCAAAAATGCATGTTTCTCTTTCAGATCACGCTGGTTATCTGGGCAGTGATTCGCATCGGTCCCAATGGTTGTGACAGTATGGAGTTCCATGAGAGTGGCTTGTTGCGGTTTAAACAAGTTTCTGACATGGGTGTTATACATCCCTTGTATAAAAGCACTGTAGGAGGCAGACGTAATGAAGACTTAGTGATCACTGGAAATAATCAGCCTGTAAGTTATATCATGACTTGAAAATGTGTGAGCAACATTATGGTATTGCACTCACATTATGAATAAATGTTACACTTCAAACATCATTAACTTCATGACTTTGTTTCTGAAGATTGTATTTCAGCAAGGAACAACCAAGCTTAGTGTGGAAAAAGACAAAACTTCTATTACCAGTGATATTGGCATGGAATTTGTTGACCCACGGACACAAAATACCTTGTTCAGCACAGACTATGAAACTCATGAGTTTCATCTGCCAAATGGAGTTAAAATCTTGAATGTACAGAAGGCTTCTACAGAGAGGGTAAGTCTCCTTTAACTAGCACTTTTTGTAAAAGTTCATTACAGAATTGCCTTAAAGTTGTAGAGTAATGAAAAAACAACTTTACCAATCCAATTTTTCAGGCCTATTAAGAATTTTGTCTAAATGTAGCTAAAAATGCAGCTCTGAAAATGTAAGTCACTCTAAAAAGTTAGAACAGAAATTAAATCTGATATCATTAAATGAGTGCAGTGTGAGGGATACCATGCCAACTAGGCTTGTGTGTCTTTTTATTAAGCATTTACTCATTTGTGCATGAATAACTGTTTCAGAAATCAAATTTCTATAAAAAGCTTCTCTGTTTTCTTTAAGATCTTACAAAATAATTACCAGAATTTCATGTCTTTCTTTCCTTCTGTTGGAGATAAATGATAGTACAATCAGAATTTCAGAAGTCTTATTACAAGTATAGAGAACAATTACAGTGTTATAGGAGTTGTGTCAGTTCATGGCTTCTAGGTTAAATGAGTTCTTAGCTTGGTTTCTGCATTAAATATGATGTAGTTGTGAAAAAAATAAAAACCCTAAATGCCAGTGTGTGTACATTTAAAATTTTGAACTTAATGTGAGGCTAATTTCTTTCATGCACATCGTTACTCATAACAAAGGCTTTACACATAGAGTACAGTGCATGGTTCTTTTGTATAACTTTAGGAGAGTAGTATCAGTGGTTTTATAGAAGGTTGAGTGTGCCTTAGGAAGCATTGAGCAATCCAGTTAAGAACAAAGAGAATTTAGTTCTTCTTCGTGTTTCCTCTGCAAGGCTAACAATTAGACAGTATCTTCCAGGAAAAAAAAAAAAATTTTACATACCTTCCATAATTAAGTAATCCTTGTTTTTAAATGGGAATGTGGAAAATTAAAAATGGACAGAAACTTCATAGGTATAATGACAGAAGGGCAAAAAGTACATTGAAGTTTTTATTAAATTCTAGCAATTTTTGAGGTAATTGAAAGTACTTAGACAAACGCAAGTGACACAGTTTCATTGTTCTGTAATACACTTGTTTTGTCACATTCTTAGATTACCAGCAATGCGACCAGTGATCTAAACATAAAGGTCGATGGCCGTGCTATCGTCCGGGGAAACGAAGGTGTTTTTATCACAGGCAAGACCATTGAGTTTCGAATGGGGGGTAACATGGAACTTAAAGCAGTAAGTATTTCAAATCAGCATTTTTTTTGGAACAGCTTAGTTTCAAATTCAGGCTGATAATGAACTGATGTAGCTTTGTATAGTTTCAAGTTTTATGTGAAGTAGTGTTGCATTAAAGTTTAGTTGCAGTCTGTATTTAGTAGGATTTTCATAGAACCATAGAATCATAGAATAGTTAGTGTTAGAAAGGACCTTAAGATCATCTAGTTCCAACCCCACTGCCATGGGCAGGGACACCACACACTAAAGGTGGCTTATTACTTTGCTGCTAATTACCAGTTCAGTAGTTTCCAGGTACCTATGATTTACTACTGCTAAGAGGACAAAACCCCACAATGCAGTTAAAGCTAAGCTATTGCCTCTGCACTGAAAAGAATACCAAAGGGAATTAATCTTCTCTTTTGGAGGCTTTACTGGGGTCAGCAACCTTTGACAGAGGAGCAGAGCACGCTATCATCTGTGCTGCTGCGGTATAACTTGCCTGCATTCATTTAAGATTTCTGGAGATTGTTAAGATTGCAGGGCATATGGAATGATGGAAAAGGTTAGAAGAGGATAAAAAAATAGAGATACATACACTTTCATTTCATGTGTGAATAAATTTAATGTATTAATTCAATCCCTGGTTCCCAGTTCATGTCCCTGTTTTTAGATGTACTGCATTTGGTAATAGGTCTGTAAAGTGAAAAGCCGCTATTGCTGTCTCTCAGTATCAGTCTACCATTGGAATAGCAAAGTACATTGCTCACTGTAATGGAGAAATCCAGAGGCATTATTCACAAATTAGAAAATGAAACCTTGTTGTATGTACTTTCTTTATCCTGTTGATGCCTGCAGCCATCCTAAAGGTGTCACTTATTCATTAAACCAGCTTGTCCTTTTCAAGAACAACCTGCCTTGTCTAAATTAGAAGTTATACATTTTTTTTTTCTCCTTAATAGGAAAACAGCATTATTCTGAATGGAACTGTGATGGTCAGCCCATCACGACTGCCAAGTTCTTCTTACGGGGAACAGTTTAATAACGGGAACTGGCTGCGTTTCAAGCTCTGCATGTGTGCAGATGGGACACTTTTCAAGGTCCAGGTGACAGGTTATAACATGGGTTGTCAGACTTCTGTCAATCCATGTGGAGCCACACACTGAAACACAAATCACTACCAGAAGAGTTCTCTTCAGTGTTTACATGTATTTGTATGAAATAATTGCATGCCTTCAAGGATTTCTGGTTTTACAGCAGTTTATACTAACATTTGTTACATAATATTTTTAAACAAAGGCTGTGATGTTCAGCAGTATTGTCACCATTGTGTTAGCCATAATAGTGGCACTGATGTAATAAGCTATCTACATGTGTACTGAAGTACCTTCCTTCCTGAATTGAGATCAGTAGAATGTATTTCAAGAATGTGATCTTAGCAACAGTCTTATCTGCCTTCAGTTGCCTTAAGAGGAGGTTTTTGTCCTACATCCCAAGACCTTGAGGGCTGCTGAGAACATATCTGCGATCTGAAGGACTTCAACAGGAATGCTGATTTGTTGTTGAAAGTGGATTTACTGGCAGATTTTTATCTTCTCTTAATTTCTTGCCAAAGGTTGATATAATGATCTCCCCCAAAATGATGTGGTTTACCATATGGGTACTAAGAGAGGAGTAGTGGCAGATTCACTTTATAATAATGCATTATTTCTGCCATATAGTCTCATGTAGTTAAAAAAATAAATGCTAGCACAAATAATATTTGCAAAGTAATTCCAGGTGTGGAAATGTAACTTCAATTTTTAAACAGTCCTGTGATTACTGAAGTGTCTGTGCAGTTTTGGCATTCTACAGTTGCTTAATTTATGTGAAGTATTTATAAAACATGTTTATATTAGAAGTACATTTTTAAAGATGTAACTTGCTCACTACCCAAGAAAGTATTTTCCGGGGTGCTTTAGTGTGAACCACGTATGAATCTGTTTTTCAACAGACAGACACCTAAAGCATGACTGTTGCAGCAGTGCCCGAGATCAGATCTCTTTCCCTGTCAATGTCAGTACTGATGCATTACCAAGAACCTCAGAATTAAATTCTGACTTTAAACTGCGCAGCTGTACTTCTAAATGTGATGGTAGGGTATCCTGGCAGCAGAGTAAATACATGTGTATCTGAATTTGGCAACAATGTCTATGGAGAAGACATTGGGGCCTTACAGAAACTATTTAACTGCTTTTGCAGAGGTAAGGTGTTCTGTACAAAAAATAGATCAGCGCATTGTAAGATTCCTCCTTCTCCCACCTCGTGTGTATTTTCAGTTTAAAATACTTTTGTTTTTCAGTAGCATCAAGTAATCTTAATGGAAGTCACAAAGGTGACTTTGCAAGTCGCTTTTTGACAGGTTCTCCTAGATAAGCACACGCTTCTCTTCCTACAAGTTGTGCAAATGTTACACGTTAACTTCAGAGTTGGTCATTTGTTATGGGAAGACAAACTGTCTACCGTTGGTTTGCTGCTTGCAAAATACATAGAATTCCACGAAATACAAAACAGCTTCTGTTGCAACAAGAACTTTGTATCCAAGGTCCCATCTCCTGTATTTACTAGAAGTCACTATGTGCATGTAGGGCTGGAAGGGGTTTCTCAAGGAAGTTCCTTAGGCATTATACCAAACAGGAGGTCAGAGTAGTCATGCTTCCCTCATTGCCCAAAGGCAAAACCAGAGTTTGATGCTCAATAGTTGTTGAGGGTTTGGGAAATGGACAGCAGTGGAGATGTTCTAAAAAAAACAGAAGACAATAAACCGTAGCAAAAGCCATTGAATTGCTCACGTTAGAGATTATGGGAAAGTACTAACATTTTGCATACAGCCTTCATGAGCACCATAATGTTACTGGAGTTAATATTTATTAACCACTTCAACACACATTTTGCTAAAAACATGTACACACCTTTGCTGCTAAGCAGTGCCTCAGTATCTGTTACAGTTAAGAGGAGGAAATAAATTGTAACACTTTTAGAACTTTCACTCATGCTAATGGAAGTTGGTCACTTTATTTTTGTATATATTAAATATAGACACAGGCACATATAAAAATATAAGCAGCAATATCCTCAAAGCTGAAATAGATCTTGAAAAATACAGATACTGCATCAGAGAGTAACCTACAAACAAAGAGCATATTAAAGCTTTTCTCTCGTTAAGACTGACAGGCCTATATGCTAGTAATTGGTTCTTTATCAAGAGTTCTTTTTAAAATACTGTATGCAACATAGCAGAAAGATTTGTCACAAAGGTACTCTTAAATCATGGGCTGGAGACTTGGTTTTGAGGTATGGACCTTTTTGTCAAAATGTAGCAAAACTGATCGTGCAAAAAAAAACAAATGAAATAAGTTATCATTTTGTAAGCTATTTATGTGTTGTTAATATATTTTGTTGCCTTCACTACACAGTTTGAAAAATGTTGGCACCACACATGCCTTATGTTGTGCATTTATTTGCTGGTTTTCTTCTAATTGCTTGAGGTACTTTTTTCTGTTTCTTGTATTTAAAACACTGTGTGGCACATTCATTATTTCATTCTCACAGATGCACTTACCATCCTGGGTACGTTGAATCAACTTAGATGCAAAGAGTTCTCAGCACAGGTAAAGGTGGTGGTTGTTTGTTTTGAAATGGATCAATAAATTCTTAAGATGCAGCTGTGGTTTGGAAGTGTTATTTGTAAGAATATAGTTTGTCATTAAAAATACATTGTTGTGTTATCAACAGGGAAACTAGTTTTTTATTGACTGTAAGTATGAAAATCATTCCACATGTATTTGTCATGGATTGTATGTGGTGGACTTTGCTCAGTGGTGATTGTGTGATTCCTGAAGTAGAGTTCAAAAGTCTTCACTATTGTTAGTTCACAAGTTCCTGTTGAAGCTGTGTTTCCCCACAGAAGGGCTGGAAAAGAAACAAGGTGGGATTGTTTTTCGGGAGAGGTGGTGGGAGGGGAAAGGTTACCAGTTATTGACTGTTCTTTTTGAAAAGTACCAAAGACTCCAAATGGAATGTTTAAGGCAGAACATTGGTAATGCTTCCTTACTTGATTTTGTTTAATGTCAAAGTATTTCCGCTTTTAAGTCTTATTATGCTGAGCTTACCACCTTTCTACACTTTACATGCAGATACTATGGATAACCTTCACTTGAGTGTCGTAGCTGTGGTCCTATACTGTCATCTTCCTGGCTCAGTGGGGAGCAAGTCACAGCAGATTCTTCTTGATACACATCACCATTCAGACTGCCAGTGGGGTGAGGAGCTCTTACTGAACTGTTCTTTTACCGGAATGTCTACTATTCCAGAGGATATCTCACAAACAGCAGTAACAGCTGATTTTAGCTACAATAACATTAAAACTTTCTTGTGCACCGGTGGAATAAACAAAGAATGGATGCTGAAACACCTGAATCTCAGTAACAATCTGATTTCTGAACTCTCCTTAACTACTTGTAGGAATTTACCTGCTTTAGAAACATTAATCCTCGATGGTAATGCCATCCACACCCTTACACTGGACATACCTACCCCTGCACATGGGTCATATGGAAAAGCTGATCATCTCCTGCCTGCTTTGAAAGTATTGTCAATGGAAAGAAATAATCTTAATGCAGTTCCAAGAGGTAAGCATTTTAAAACCTTAAAGAAACCTTGCTTCCAAGGGGTAAGTTGTTTTTGGATATGATTCAGTAACATCCTACTAAATTCAGAAGGTGATCATCTCTATTAGTTACATGTAAAATGAGGAAAAGTTCCACCCATGTGCAGAGACTGAAACAAATGGGTTGTTTCTGATTAGGCTGTGGGGTTTATAGTCTTTGCAATCATAATGCCTTACTGTCAGTCAGATATAACCAAATTTATCCTCGGAGACCCCAAGCAGTATTTTTGCTTGTGGTATAGAAAGGGAAATAAGGATCTCTGGAAAACCATCAGCCTCCATAATCCAGTCGTGAACCTTAACATCAAGAAAATTATGGATAATGAATTTCATACTACTCTTCAGAAGAATGTCAATACTCTTAAATAAAGCTTACTCTGATTTCAGTATTTCACAAGGCCAAGAAAATATATTTTTTTCAGTCAAAACAATTTTGCTCTGTGCCATCTGACACCGAAGCAAAGTTATACCTGGTGACAGGAGAGGGCTGTAAGGTTTCGATAGACTCCTAGAAAGTGTTTGTCATCGCTGAACTATGGTGGGCATCGCAGCCTTTATGACAGCCTCTATCCTCCTAAACAGGTGAGTCACATTGTCTAAGCAGTGGTTAAATGAAGAGGCTGCCATATGAGCAATGCTATCTTGTATATTGTTTGCTGAATTTAACTGATCTTTGATAATATCCAGGTACTTCACGTTGTCCAAACAAGGGTTAAATGAAGCAGAAACTGCCATACATACATTTCTGGCACAAATTTAGCTTCAGGGAAGCATCCAAACTACAATTCTTCATGCAGGTGCAAGTAAGAATTTATGAGCTGCCAGAACTTCTGAATGCCTTTCCTACCAGCTACCTCTAGTTTTACAGCAGGAATGAATCATTCCCTCTGCTTTTCACAATAAACCCAAAGATCAATTACTCAAGGAACAGCACAGCAAACTGCAGTAAGAGGTTTCCAGCAAAGTAGGTGACACCAAAGGCAAAATGTTTACAGGCAAATAGTGGCTTTTCAACAATACTGTATGATCAAAAACCATTTTAGAGTGACATTCAGGTGTTACAAACTGTAGCGAGGCCAAGTGTTCATGTGCCTCCTGTCTCATTGGAACTTGCAGGCTGGAGCTTTGGGGGCTGGCCGTGCAGCACCTGAGAAAAATGAGGTATCACCAGCATTCAAAAGAGCTGCTTACAGAAGACAGATGCTGTTATAACTAGGATATGCTGAGGAATACACTGTCATGCTTTTGATAATTCACCGGCAGACAAGCGTAAGAAACAACACATTTTTGTTTTCAGTCAGGTTTATATCCTGTGAGTGTGGTTCAAATGGGAAACTCCCATGGACTTACAATATCTCTTACTCATTGCCATTTGCATCACTTTTGCATCTCCATCATTTATTTGCAATTAACATACTTGGATTTTATAAACTGAGCATATTCCACCCTTTTCCCACTCTTCCTTTCCTACCTCCAGTTCTCCAGAGAAATGTGCTCAAAGCATAGAGATCACAGTCAGAATAATTTTGATAGCACAAAGGAATGTTACTGCTTTTATGGAGCTGTGAATGTTTAAAACATGCATTGATGGTGAATGTATTAACATGCTGCCTGATACTGATGCTGATGCTGTGCAACTTTTAGAATGGGACAACCACTGGATAAGAGAGGCACAATAACTCAAAGCCTGCAGCCACTCCTTGCAATAGTAGGGAATGGAAGGAATTTTGATGCAAACAACTTTAAAAAGCCACTTGATGCAGTTGGAAAAACAAGGACATGAATTGTGAAATAGTTTTGTTCTTCCTAGGACTGGGCCTGCTGCAGTCTCTGCAAACTGTCCATATGTCATCCAATGGCATACAACAGATTGATCTGAATGATTTTCAGAACTGTTCACAGCTGAAGGACATCGACTTGCAAAACAACCACATAATTAAAATTCATCCAGATGCCTTCAGGAAGCTCAACAAGTTACAGGTTGTAAAGCAGTACTACAACTGTTTCAGTGTTTTGTATTAATTGCTGTTAAAGATATTAATTATCAACTATTCAGCAGGATTATATTGGTCTTTGATTATTATATTATTATACAATTTTAAAAACTAAAGCAAATGGTGAAAATAATCATTGGTATATAATATATACTTGCTTTTCATATACAGGAAAACACATACACTTGTAAATATACAAAATATAACCATAAATTCACCATTTATTTATGCCACAAACCAATCCATAACTGGCTTAAACACACACACGTCCTTCTCTACTATCATCCCTTCCATGCTGAGAGCCCCACAGCTTCCCATGCACACAGAGATAGTCTAGAGTGGGAGAATTCTAAATACACAAACTTTTCATTTAAATCAAAAAGCTTAGAAAAATATTACTGCAATCCTGACCAGAGCTATTGCCCCTGTAACTGCAAAGTGCTTGTATGCTAAACTAAATGTTACTGTTGATACTGCAGTTAGGATTCTATTGTAAGGCTTATCAAATTAATTCTGACTTATTTCCAACTAGGTAGTAGATCTCCGTGGAAATGCTCTGACAACCCCCCTACCACAGATACTGATCAGTTTGAACTTCTTTCAAATTGAAGTGGATTTGTCAAATAATGCCTGGATATTTAATTGCAGACTGAACGCTTTCAAACATTTCATTCATTTTCTTTTTGACCCCACAAGGAAAAAAATGAGTATTTCATACAATAAATCTGGCACCAGCTCACAGAAACCTCTGCTCTATCTTTCAAGTTTGCATTTAAACTGCAGCGACAGTGTTTTGCTCAAGGGGGCTGCCATCCCAACAGGGAAGATGTTAGTGCTAAACTGTAATTCAGACAACACAAGAGGTATGTAAAACAGGACTCCATCCATATGTTACTAAAAAACAAATGTGCACAGAATGATCAAAGAAATCTGTTTTAAAAAGTGGATTTCCAAAGATACTGTTTAAAAACAACTGAACAACAATGAACATGCAAATTATTTCATTATAAAGTAGTATACCTGTTAGAATATTTGATAGTCATGTTTCTCCAAAGAAGTCTTCATCTTCCTCTTTACATTAAACTAATAACGATGCCCAATTATACACAAATAAATTTCATTAAGCAGTACATTGCAAATTTATCAGTTAATTTTGGAATGCAAACAAAGGATTGAATAGCAGAGTTGCATGTCTGGGGCATCTAGAAAACCAAGAAGGATACAATAACATTTCTGGTATTCACCTGTAGCAAAATGGAATGAAAGTTTATTTGCAGGGGAGAAGATTTATATTTCTTCTACATAAGTACAGCTACTGTAGCCCACAGTCAGCATTTCCAATTATTACAGAGCTAGGTTAGATATAAGAAGGAAATTCTTTCCTGTTAGGGTGGTGAGGCTCTGGAATGGGTTGCCCAGGGAGGTTGTGAATGCTCCATTCCTGGCAGTGTTCAAGACCAGGTTGGATGGGGCCTTGGGTGATATGATTTAGCGTAAGGTGTCCCTGCCCATGGCAGGGGGGTTGGAACTAGATGATCTTAAGGTTCTTTCCAACCCAAACTATTCTATGATTCTATGCAGAAGGAAAGCTTAAGATCAGACTTGGAACAGAAGGTGTATTTGCCCTCTGCCGTAAGGCAGAATGGTTTAACTCTAATGGACAATAGCACTTTGAGGAGTAGGCTTTCCCCTTGAAACTCTCACCCCTAAATGAAAATATGTAGTTTCCATCAGATATGCCACCTGCTTGTCTATTAACAAGGAAAGTCATGGAAACTGATCAACACACTGGATTGCACCAAAACTCAACTGGGAACACAAGCAGATCCAAAGGCAAAGGGCTACATACAACCTTAAAACATTTCAAAAGCCAACAACCAGCCATGGCCTACACCAGATAAAGTTTGGAACAATTGCTCAGTAGATACAAATATCTTTGGTTTTCAGATCTTACTGTCACATTCAAAGCAGTAACTAGAGGAAAATCACAGTGACTGGCACGCTGACAGCTAACGAGTGAAGCTTTGTCTCATTGCTGCGCACAATGAGCGTGTCCACAGTGGAGAATGGCTGGCTATAAATACAGATCTTCCACAAGGGACAGCAGCAGGTGTTTCTAGTACAACCCAGAACACACTTAGATAATTCTAGTGATCTGCTCCCTCACACATGCTATTTTTCTTGTAATGCCTGCTATTAAGATCCCATAGGTACAGTTTTAAAGGGGGGGGGTGTGGGGTGGGGAGGGGGAGTATATGGTTGTTTAACAGATACTTGGTAAAATAATGCAGGATGGATAAAAAGAAAATGGATTTTATAATAAATAGCTGAAATTATCAAAGATAGGTCAGAGCATATTCTTACAGAAACAACTTGACCCCCAAAACCAAGTATCCTATGCTTTTAAGAAAGATTTAGTTTCTATCTATTTGCTTCTATTTCAGGTAATAAGAATGGAGCCTCTTGGTGGACACCTAATGGCAGAATTTCAAAAGATACGAGTCTTTCTCATATGACCCTGGATAAAATTAATAATTTAGTGATACACAATGCTGAGAAAGCTGCTGAAGGGTTATATTTGTGTATTTTTAATACAACAAAGAGGAAATATTTCATCTATGATATACAGGTGAAAGAAAGGGGGTCAACATTTTTGGTTCGCAAAGCCCGAGATGCTAACCCTGCTTTGCGACAAGGAAGAACAGAGCAAGACCTTACACTGGCTGTGTGCCTCTCGGTGCTCATTACATTTGTTTGTGCTTTTTGCCTGGGTGCTTTTGCTAGACCCTACCTTGGAAGCCTGTGGAGACTCATGTGCAGGAACAAGAACTCAGCTTCAGAACATACTTATTGTAACCAAGCTTTTTCAGATGAAACCTTGAGCAGAGAGTGCTCTGCAAGCACGAGCAAACCAACCAATACACAGCACAGCTTGTTCATTTGTGATGAGGATTCTTCAAGGAACATATACGTTCTTCCTACAGAAACTTCACAAGCAAATGTCACTGATAGCAGCGTATGCGCACCAAATACTGAAGAAGAGTACCAGAAACAAAGCAATGATGAGACCAATGTGAAGAAAAAATCTTGTTTTTCAGACATCAAAACTAG